CCCCCCCATCATGTCCCACCTCTCCTGCTCAAGCCTCACTCTCCTCGTGTCTCCCCGCAGCGGGAGGACCTTCATGAGCAGCCGCAGCGAGGCCGCCTACATCGGCGGAGTCTGCTCACTCAGCAGAGGCGGCGGCATCAACGAGGTGACGCCTTCCGAACGTCCTTATTTGTCCCCCCCCCCAACCCGAGCTAACTTGCTTTGTGTGTTCAGTTTGGCGCCGTGGGTCCGATGGCCATCACGCTGTGCCAGAGTCTGGGCCAGAACATCGGAATGCTGAGGAGCAAGGACAGACCTGCTGCAGGTCAGCTAAGCGGCTTTGCATCACTTTTTGTAGGCATAAAAAGCAGGATTAGAAGGATGACCTTCAACGCACAATCTACTTCATTATGTTTTTAAAGCACCGGATTGTAGATCACGTTTTTTCCATGAATTGTTAATTAAAATAATAAACAATTTGGAGGTGGACTGACCCACTGCTCTAGTTTAGAGCAACGTGGCTTTGATTTGTTTGGCCAGGAGACTGCAGGTGTCCAGACCCTTGGTTAGGATGCATCATGGAGGACACCGGGTGAGTACACAAAAAAAAAAAAAAATCTCGTCTTTTCTGCCCAACAAGTGGAAGTGCGAACTGATCTGGGATTTTTTTTTTGGTTCACTCAGCTATTACCTGCCCAGGAAGTTCTCTCGCTGCAGCGTCGATGAATACCTGCGCTTTCTGCAGCAAGGCGGCGGCAGCTGCCTGTTCAACAAGCCCAGCAAGGTGACAGAGAAAATTCTTTCAAATAATGGTGAAATGATGGCGGCGGAGCACAGGCTGACAAAATGAAGCGCCACTTCTTATCTCGAGAAACTTGATCTATTGTTCCTTGGTAGCAAGTTACCACAAGATGGCGCCGAAGCGGTGTTTCTCTATTAGACCCGCCTTTGGCGCCATCTTGTGGAACGGAAAAGAAGTTGCGAAGAATTGTGATGGGACTAAAACCGCCATGGAACGTTGCAGCTGCTGGACCCACCCGAGTGCGGCAACGGACACGTGGAGCCGGGCGAGGAGTGCGACTGCGGCACGCTCGTGGTAACTACTGGCTCCGTCCCCGCGAGCCCGCACTCTTGTCATCGTCGACGCACGCCAAAGTTGCCTCTCGGGTCTCGTAGGAATGCGCCCGCGACGGGGCAAACTGCTGCAAGAAGTGCACGCTGACCCACAACGCCATGTGCAGCAACGGCCTCTGCTGCAGGGACTGCAAGGTTAGTTCCTTTTGTTGTCGTGAAGTCGCCGTCCAGACTCCCACGCGTTTGTCCGTTGCCGTCGCAGTATGAGCTGAGAGGGGTGACGTGTCGCCAGGCCGTCAACGACTGTGACATCCCAGAAACCTGCGTAGGGGATTCCAGCCAGGTATGAAAATGTCGCCACTCCAAAGGATTATTATGGTTCGGAGGTTTTTCTTCAAATAGGGTTACGTTCATTTTTTTTTTTAAACAACAAAGACATGACACATGAAGAGGGGTGTGCAGACTTTTTATCTCCACTCTACTCTGTCTGCCCGACAGTGCCCTCACAACGTCCACAAACTGGACGGCTACACGTGCGAGGCCGGCCAGGTAAGTCGGCCTCCCGCTCGGCGGGCGTCCCCCACCACTTTGCGCCATCGTGACTCGTGACCCCCCCCTCCCAGGGCCGCTGCTACGGTGGCCGCTGCAAGACCAGGGACGGCCAGTGCAGGAGCTTGTGGGGCTTCGGTGAGGAGATGGCAAAGACTCAAATTTGCGAGAGTTATTTTTCATTCCTCCCCCCCCGTCCCCAGACGCTGCCGACAGGTTCTGCTACGAAAAGCTGAATTCCGAGGGCACGGAGAAAGGGAACTGCGGCCCCGCGCCCGGCGGCCAGGGATGGATGCATTGTAACAAGCAGTGAGCGAGACTTTGTTCAAGAATGAACTCCTCTGGGGGTGAATTGGATCCATTTTGGAACAAAGTCATCAAAATGCCTTTTCTCTCCCCCCTCTAATGCAGGGACGTTCTGTGTGGTCTGCTGCTGTGCACCAACGTGACCGAAAAGCCGAGCTTTGGCGAGCTGCGGGGCAAACTGACCAGTTTGACCGTCCATCATCACAACAGATACCTGGACTGCAGGTGAGCATTGCCTCCTTTCCCCGTCGTCTGTATCGATGAATAAAGACATCGGTCGTGCAGCCTTCTTTGTTTTTGGGGGATGGATACAAGGGGCGGTCACGCAGTGCTGGACGACGGCTCGGACCTGGGCTACGTGGAGGACGGCACGCCGTGCGGGCCCAACATGATGTGCCTGGAACGCCGCTGCCTTCCGGTGGCCGCCTTCAACCTCAGCGCCTGTCCCGGCTCGTCCGTCGCGCGCAGCTGCTCCCATCACGGCGTGAGTGAGATGGACACGCCCTCCGGTTTTGCGTGTTTTTTATTTTTTATTTTTCAAACTGACAATGAATCGCGTTTGACCTTTTGACCCCTTGCAGACGTGCAGCAACGAAGTGAAGTGTATCTGCGATCGCGACTACACCGGGAAAGACTGCAGCGTGTTTGACCCCGTTCCCATTCCCACGCCGCACGAGGGCCCGGAAAAATATAAAGGTAATTTCTCCGTTCCAGCTGGCCTGTCAAATTCATTTTTTGTCGCGGGGCACATGACACTTGCGCAGGGCTGTCGTGGAAGTTGACGTGCTTGATTTGCTTTCACTGGCCACGTCAATGTTTGATCGCCCCCTTTGGGATTGCTTTCAAATCCATGATGATGAAACCGATCAGCATCGTTCTCGTCCGTTACGAGTCGCAATTTGTATGTATCAGAAAGAATTGGGGTGTCACGGCAGAGTGTAGATATTTGCACGGACGGATTTGTGCAGGTCCGAGCGGCACCAACATCATCATCGGCTCGGTGGCCGGCGCCATCCTGCTGGCGGCCGTCGTCCTGGGAGGCACCGGATGGGGATTCAAGTAAGAGCGCTCGACTCGCGCGCGCCTGCCGCCATTTGGTGAATGTCGTTTCATGCTTGCGAGCGCCTGGAATGCTGTCATAGATTGGAGTCCGAGAAGCACGAGTAAAGCTTCTCGCCATCTCTGAGGCTGTGCCAAAAGGTGCTTCTTGAGGCGAGCTTTGATTTGAGCCCTCACCGCTGTCCCCGTTTCTGTGTGCCCCCCCCCCCTTCCCCCATATTGTTGCCTTCGTCCTTGCGGATCCAGAAACATCCGGAGAGGAAGGTACGACCCCGCCTTTGAGTCCTGAGCGCGCAAGTCGTTCACGCGTGCGGGATAGTCACCAGTCGGCCGTTTGTGAACATTCCACATGAGTGCAGCTTTCTTTGTTGACGTTTTGGCTCATCCCTTGTGAGAAAGACCTCATACATGAATCGAGGAAAAAAAAAAATAGCATGCAACAACCAGTCAGCGCACGCCTCTTCCAATGCCACCTTTTGTTTTCATTTTCAATTACTGGAAGCATTTGGAATGGCGCACTTGTGCGAGCACGTCATCATACTTCATACATCATATTTATTTCCGTAGACTTGATAGGTCGCGTTTATGGTAGAAAGGTTTTCGAAATGATTTCGTCTTGGTTTTACTTTTCCAGATCACAAAAAGCTGGCATACGAACAGTGCTCTGTCCACTTTATTTCCGTAAATATACGTTGAGCATTGGTGGCTTGAATCTTTTGGATGGGGCATAGCACACATCTAATGCTAATTTGCTGCCTTCTGTCTGACAGACTTGACAGGACTGGCATTCTTGTCATATTGAGAGGATCTGATTACATTAAAGCACAATTGTACTTCTTTTTTGTTGTTGTTGTAGTTCTTATTTCTAATGACTTCCTGCTTCTCTTTTTCCTTCTCCTTCTGCTTTCTTCCTCATCCCCTCCTCAGATCTTCCGGAGTGTGATCTTCAATCACGTCTTTTGCTCCGCTCGCAGGACATTTGGAGGCCCCGTCCTGCCTTTCGGGACCGCTGCGGGAGCCCTCTTTTCTTTTTCTTTTCTTCTTTCAAGTGATGATGTCACTGGGCCAGGCTGCTGTCGATGCCCCTTCCTCCGCACGTGTCAGGGCAATATGTGGAAAATAGCAGCAAGTCGCGCAGATACCTCATCAGCCAGCCGCTCCTGCTCTCATATGTAATATGCATCCATGTATGAATGTACCTTTTAGGCGCGCATCGTATGCGTGGTCTGTATGTAATCCATGCACAGTAGAGCCCGACCGATACATCGGTCAGCTGGATGGTTGAACTTTGGGGAAAGAGAAAAATTGGATCTATTCAACTGGCCACTTCAACAGATGCGATAGTTGTTCTGAACCAAGGGTGCGCTGAGTTTCGAGAATGCGCCTTTGCAGACTGCCGTGTGGAAACCCACTCGTTGCCCACTCATTTACCACAAAAGTGTGTTTATTTACGACAAACTATTGCTCGTGCGCTCACGGAGCTGAGAACAGGCCACCCGCTCGGTGGCCAGCTTGTCGCCTCGGCGTACTGCACCCGATGCATCCCCTCGCGCACACCAGTCTCCAAATTAGTCTGCAGCTCTGGCGTCACGTCCACCAATCAACGCCACCCTTATTCTTCTGCTTGCTCATGAGACGATATGGATTCTGATCACTATTTCGTTGATATTTTTGCTCTCTTTCTTGAACAGGTTGGTGATATGTGGAAAATAGCAGCAAGTCGCGCAGATACCTCATCAGCCAGCCGCTCCTGCTCTCATATGTAATATGCATCCATGTATGAATGTACCTTTTAGGCGCGCATCGTATGCGTAGTCTGTATGTAATCCATGCACAGTAGAGCCCGACCGATACATCGGTCAGCTGGATGGTTGAACTTTGGGGAAAGAGAAAAATTGGATCTATTCAACTGGCCACTTCAACAGATGCGATAGTTGTTCTGAACCAAGGGTGCGCTGAGTTTCGAGAATGCGCCTTTGCAGACTGCCGTGTGGAAACCCACTCGTTGCCCACTCATTTACCACAAAAGTGTGTTTATTTACGACAAACTATTGCTCGTGCGCTCACGGAGCTGAGAACAGGCCACCCGCTCGGTGGCCAGCTTGTCGCCTCGGCGTACTGCACCCGATGCATCCCCTCGTGCACACCAGTCTCCAAATTAGTCTCCAGCTCTGGCGTCAACGCCACCCTTATTCTTCTGCTTGCTCATAAAACGATATAGATTCCGATCACTATTTCGTTTATATTTTTGCTCTCTTTCTTGAACAGGTTGGTGCCAACGTGTTTTTTCCGCGTCGAGATGAAGCGTTTGTGGAATTTAGGCAGGCTTTGTCGCCGTCTTGTGGTCAATAGGAGAAATGCTGCCCGTGATAACTTCCGGGAATCCAAAACAGATACGAGACGTTTTTTTTTCCATTTATGTCTCGTGCTACCCATGTATTCAATTTATTTTTATTTTCGAAAAAAACATATTTAAAGTCAAACGGTTCTGAGACTTTTTCGTTCGGGAAAATCGAGCTCTATTTCAGTTTGGGGGATTTCTATATTAAAACTAATATCAAATGGTCAGTCGTTTTTCTATTATGAATGTCACTTTCCAATGTGTCAATGTCAAACCGCCAAATTGAGGGACTTTGTTGTGACGCCGGAAGTTGTTTTCCAAAAGCGATGCGCTTTGTCTTGCTCGCAGCTTTGACGAAAGACGCTTTTGCCTACCCCCCCCTCCCCCAAAAAAAAAAGTCCGACATTCCTTCCTTGGAATCGCTGCTGGCTTCGGAGTCTGCTGGAGGGTGTCCACGTTTGCAGCTCTCACATCTGTGCGCCGAGGCCTCCGCTCTAAATTAACAGCCCAGTTCTTGTTTTTCAAGCGTTATTTTGGTCAAGACGATGTTCGCCTGTTGCATCGTCCCCGTGTTCGTCGCGTTCGTGTGTTTCGCGGAGTGCAACCCCAGCCCGCTCGGCGATGTCGTCGTGGACAGACACTTCATCCCCCCAACTTGTACGCGGCAAGCCCAAGACGGAGATCAGGTTCGCTATCACTACAACGCCACTTTTCTCGACGGGAAAACGTTTGATTCCAGGTAAGAGCATCCGCGTGATTCTATCTTTGCCATGGGGAGTTTTCCTCAAGTTTAAATGTGTGCGATAGATGGCGTCGTTGCAGCAATTTTCTGCTGGGACTTGACACGTATCATTTCCCCCCCCCCCCCCCCCCCCCCCCCACCTTCCCGTTTAGCCACCAGCGAGGGGCAGCCAAGGTGGGCCTTCTCGGGGAGGGTCGCCTGATCGCCGGCATCGAGAAAGGACTGCTTGGCATGTGCGTCAACGAGCGACGCACCCTCACCGTCCCTCCGCACCTGGCCTACGGCAGCAGCGGAGCAGGTAGGATCAATTACGATTAAATTATTAGGATTCAAACAAGTACATTCCTTTTTTTTTTTCATTGCATTACCGAGTTTGTAAATACCAATCAGCAACCAGCACTTAAAAAAAAAAAAAAAAATCAAATCCCAGTCCTTGACTTGTTGCCCGCAGGTGAAACGATCCCTCCGGACACCACGCTGGTCTTCGAGATCCTTCTGCTGGATTTGTGGAACAAAGCCGACCTGGTGGTCACCAAAACCATCAGCACCCCCAAAGACTGCAAACGTTCGGTGATGCGCAGCGACTTTGTGCGTTACCACTACAACGGTACCCTGCTGGACGGCACCACTTTTGACTCCAGGTGAAGTCCGTTTCGGCACATGACGCCACAAGTTGGCCATGAGCTTCCCGTTCGGGTCCGAATGACGCTCTTGTGTGTGCTGTCTGTACTCTGTCACGCAGGGGTGTTGTCTGTTCTGTGTTTGACTTTTTGGCTTGTATGAGCCCCACGCAGCTACGTGCGGAAGCAGACGCGCGACTCCCTGGTGGGCGAGGGCTGGCTGGTCAAGGGCCTGGACGAGGGCCTGCTGGGCATGTGTGTGGGGGAGATCCGGAATATCGTCATCCCGCCTTTCAAAGGCTATGGAGAAAAAGGCTCAGGTAGATGATGATGATGATGATGGTGATGATCAGCGTGCGGCGTACCGTAGACGATGGGTGGGCAAAGTAGGGCCCACTCCCCCCCCTTTGTTGTTTTTTTTTCAACCATCTTCCTGACTCAAGTCTGCTCATCATTGCATGAGGACCTCTGCAAGCAAATGCTAATGTTGGCCTTGCGCATGTGAAACCTTCGAAATGTGTCACGGCCTCGTCATTGTAGTAGATACGCGCGACCAATTGACGGCGAAGCCCTTTAGAAATCCAGATCAAGGAGAGTTGTGAGTTCCACTTGTTCACTGAAGTTGGAAAAAGGCTGCCGTCGCCACCCTGCCCCGAAAATGCCGCCACTATCTCAATGTGACGAAAAGTCAAGCCGGTTTGCAATTTTGGTCCACGTTTTAGCGGCTGGTTGCGCAGTCCGCGATTTGATGGCCATTTGATTGAAGCAGGAGCGGAGGTCCCCCCCCATGCCACTTTGGTGTTTGACGTGCTGCTGGTGGACATCCACAACCCCAAAGACAACATCACCGTGGAGGAGCAGGTGGTGCCCGAGTCGTGCAATCGCAGGACGGTGGCGGGCGATTACATCCGCTACCATTACAACGGAACCTTTCTCAACGGCGTCACCTTCGACACCAGGTCAGCTCGGCGTTCGTTCCCGGCCTCTGTCGAGCCACCGGGGAATCTCGAAAGCACCTTCTATCCAACGTACTCGTTTGGGAATGAGCGTGACATTGAAATCTGCCGTGTCGGACAGCTACCAGAGGAACAGCACGTACAACACCTACATCGGGATGGGCTACGTGATCGCCGGCATGGACCAGGCCCTGCTCGGGGTCTGCATGGGCGAGCGGAGGAGGGTCGTCATCCCGCCGCACCTGGCCTACGGCCAAGGCGGAGCAGGTACTTGCCATTCAGTCGAACCGGTGAGGCTCTCGACTGAACAAAGTACGGCGACATTTCTGGAATGGCGCGGAAAACGCGTCTGGCGGAGATGTGCCTTGACATTTCGCAGTCTGTATTCAAAATCAAGTTAGCGTCAGGCTAACCCTTCACGCAACCCGAATCCAACCCCCTTACCCAACCCTGACCCCGAAACCAACCCTACCTTTAGCCCAATCCCGAACTCTAACCTCGAAAACCAACCCTAACAACCCACATCTAAAAATACAATTGACCAACAACAAAACTAGATCTAAAAAAAAAAAAAAAATCTGTCAAAACAAATTTGTAAAAGGTAAGAAACTAAAGAATGAAGTCCACCTCTAAAAGGAGAATACGTCTTTAATTTTGTTTTCTAAACTCCGAACCGTTTTTCTAGGCGATGTGATCCCGCCGTCTGCCGTGCTGGTCTTCGACATCCACGTCGTGGACTTCCACAACCCCAGCGACCAAGTGGACGTGCAGGTCCTCCACCGCCCCGAAGCCTGCAACCACACCACCGAGGTGGACGACCTGGTCCACTACCACTACAACTGCACCCTGGTGGACGGCACGCGCCTCTTCTCCTCGTGAGTCCTTTTTTTTAATTTTTTTTTTTTTTTTTTAAACGCAAGCAATAATAAGCTCAATTTGTGACAGGCACGATTACGAGAACCTCCAGGACGCGGTGCTGGGCTCGGACAAGGTGATCGACGGGCTGGAGCAGGCCTTGCGGGGCATGTGCGAGGGCGAGAGGCGAATGGTCACCGTGCCACCTCACCTGGGCCACGGAGAAAAAGGAGGCGAGTACTTGCATGTGGTCACTTCCGATGCATAGTTTCCCTCTTCTATTGAAGAAGTGTGGGGGGGGGTGGGGAATTCCTCCGGCGTGACGCCTTTTTGTCCATTTCAGCCCCGGGCGTGCCGAGCAGCGCCGTGCTGGTGTTTGACATCGAGATGGTGCGCGTGCAGAAGGGCGTGCCGCCGGGTTATCTCTTCGTGTGGCTGAAGGAGACGCCCCAAGATTTGTTCCAAGCCATGGACGTCGACAAGGACGAGGCCGTGCCCCAGGAAGAGGTGGCCATACTTTGACTACTGCTTTTCATTTAGCATAATGATGAGAATACAACAAAGGTCGATAAAAATGCAGCCCGTCACTTCCAAATACACACGATGAGTCTATCTACTGTTGCGGGATGGTGAACGTCCGGTGAACGCTGTTTCCGCAGTTTGCCGACTTCATCAAGCTGCAGGTGTCGGAGGGCAAAGGCCGCCTGAGGCCCGGGATGGCCGCGGAGCAGGTGATCGCCGACATGTTTGCCAATCAGGACCGCGACAAGGACGGACGCATCACGGCCGAAGAGCTGAAGCTCAAGGTGGACGAGGACATCGAGCGAGCGCAACACGACGAGCTGTGATGCCTCGTGCCGCCGCCCTTCCTGTTGGTTGTCTCAGGTACCAACATCAACACTTCAGGAACACACGCAAAGTACTTTTTTTTTTTTTTTTTTTTTTTTGTAGTTTTGTTTGCCCGTGTTGTACAGCCTTCTTGTTTTGGAAGAAAAACGACTACCCGGACTTGAAATTTCCTTTTTCAGCCACACTTTAAATGTCAAATCAGACTGATGAAATGCACTGTTGGGATTCAACACAACCACCCACCCCAAAACCAAAATGTTCATCTCAATGTAGCATTGCAATCAATCAGGTTGCATGGAGAAGAAAAACGCTTTGGTCTTCATGGACAATACTGAAATTTGGCGATGCATATTTTGAATGAGTTTTTCAAGGTTTTGCGTTTGTTCACTGCAAATGTAATTCAAGTTTGCGATCAATAAAACGGCAACTGTTCCATTCAGCGGCAGAGTGCAGTGTGTTGGACCCTCGACCGCTTGATGAGGGACACCTATATTATCTCGTGGTAATTTGACCTTGAAGGGCTAAGCTTTGACGTTTGTTCTGATATTTTTGCCCCATTATGATATTGAATGTCATTCCGACTGGATTCTCACTTAGTATAGAAGATGTCAAATTGATGTCCAGATGCACTCAGTATGGTATTCTAAGAGTTGTTTATCCTGTCACCACCGTAACGCGGCAATTTCATAAGAGATCAAAAATGTAAACGCGGTTTGAGGAAAGCCTTCAACGAAGCGTCCGTCTCCCGTCAGTCTCGACTGTGGTCTCCTGATGGCAGCACAAACTTGAGGCTGGCGTTGGGGACGCCAGCACAACGATGTCAAAAGAGTTGCCGCACGACTCCCTCCTTGCGTCCACCTGAAGGAAACGCAGACATCAGAGGCTACGTCGGGGGTGCCCAAAGTATGGTCCGCGGGCCACAGAGTTGTTCATTGACTTATTGTAAATAAAACTGGGACTTAAAACACATTGAATGTGATTGAGTAGATTATTATTTTTTTTAACCTCATTGATGTATCTCCTGTCTCATTCATTCGTTTTGGAAATGACACCAATGTTTGCACTCCAAGAGCATGATGAGATGAGAAGAGGGAGTGTGGCGATGGGCCGGATGGTCAAAGAAGGCCTTTAATGTAAAAATAAAAAACTGAAGTGTAAAAGGTGCCAAATGCCTTTGTGGTTTCCTGGACAGCAGGGGGCGATATGGAGCTCCAAACCACCAAGCAAAAGAACAAGAACGGTACTACTTCCTGTTCAATGAGCAAGTTTTTCCGCTGACCAGAAGGCGTGTTCTCAGTGAGTAATTTTAACATTTGAAACTGACTATTCGCCATTTATCTGTAACTGTGTTTATGTAGACAATTTAGGAGAATGATCACGACACGCTGCTCCTCTAATTCGTTTCTTGTTCCCCAGTAAGCCAGTTAGCTAGCACGCCTCCCACAAGTAGCCCTCAGCTGTCAATCAAAAACCAATCAATAAGAGCGTTCGACTTGAATGTTATTTTGTATGTTTTCCACACCAAAGCTGCAGTCCACAGTGAAAGTGTGATGGCTTCACATATGGGGCCAGATTTGTCTCAAACAATTATTCCCAGAAATGCATCCCAGGACTTTACTCACTTGTTTTTCGAAATATATTTGTGATATTCACAAACTAAATACTAAATTACAAAAAATACGCGTTGATAATATCCACAAATGTACTCGTCATTTTCACACGTTTTCCGGTCCCCAAATCCATGCACAATTTTCACGTGTTTTAATGTGACGTGTGCATTTCTTCTGACTTTGAGATCCCTTCTTTGTCCGCTTGGGGGCAGTGTTGCCGTCTCCAATTAATGAGAACGACCTATAGCCCGTTTTTCCTTTCAAACTTGGAAATTGAAGAATAGAAAACGAGCCTTTGTCTGACCTTTTATAAGCTGCTTATTTAACACAACTCGGGAAACAAACCACGACCGTAATTTGTTTCCCTCGACCTTGTTCTGCTTTGACACGAAGACGTACTTTTTCTCCAGTTTGTCCGCCGCTGCGGCGCCAAAGAAGAAGATGAGGTAGCAGCAGAAGGTCATCGTCCTCAGTGTCAAGGCTTCGACGTAACAAATGAGGCAAAACGGGCTCGTGTTTAGAGCCTTGCGGGACAGCACGTGTCAACAATCCTTCAGACGAGGTTGTCTGACTTATCATTTGGAATGTCGTGACAGCATATCGTGTTTTCACTCTGGTAAAATGGCAACGATATTCTGGTGAAAGAACATTTTCGCAGCTCTATCTTTTCAAAATATTTTCTCGGTTTTTCAAAAAGATTTTGGATCCTTTTCAGACAACTGCAATTTGTTCTACAATGATTTACAGTATTCCCTTGTAATAGTGCAACTCATTTGATGTCCAGATTAAAAATTGACTCAGAATTGACGAATTGTCTCCTTCAATGAGTAAATGTTCGCGTCCTGCAATCTTCTCACCACTTTTAGCCTGAACAACACGGCTCCACCTCGCCCCCACGGTATTTGTGTCTGCTTGTCTTGCTCTTGCTCAATTGACCTTGTGTAAAATCTTTGCCTGGCCTTTTTGTGTGTGTGTGTGTGGGGGGGGGGGGCTTCCAACAAACAGCAGTTACTCAATTCCCAGGGAGGAAAGTGTTCCCCTAACTCCCTCCTCCTCCAGGTTTGACTGACAGCGTTGCTCGCACACTCAGTCTACTGTGTGTGTGTGTGTGTGTGTGTGTGTGTGTGTGTGTGTGGAAAGGCTAAGGGGGTGCAGTTTTGGCACGGCCGTGGGGCTTTCAGGCGTTTAAGTGCAGCGCTGGATCTGGATAGAACACATCTGCGGCTCTTGCACTGCAGAATGTACGTAAGCAAGCGGGTTGCTTCAGAACTGGGATTCATGTCCAGGTCGGGTCTCCACACGCACGCACGCACACAGAGCGCCACTGTGTGTTGACTCAAGAGTTAATGAATGGATGGCTGGAAGCTGGAACGGGAGCAGCGCCTTGGAAACAAGCCTCTTTTCCCAGGAAGGGAGCACAGGGGACAAAAGAGAGAGGGGGCACCCGAAATGAAAATTGCCTGTTTGCCGAGACCCCAACAAGTGCGGGGGGTGGGGGGAAAGCGAAGGTGGGCCTCCAAGCATTCCATGCGGCGCGACCGACAGCCACTAACATGTACTTGACAAGGAGCCACGGGGGAAAAGGGGAGAAGCAGCTGTCGGAGGAGGAGAGTGAGACAAAGGAGCAACGGGGGGGGGGCTGTCCTTACTTGCTCTCCTTGGCGTGGGAGGGGGCACAGCGAGGGACTCAAGAGGAGCCTCACTCATTTTATGTTTGCTGTGTGCAAAGGCGAACGCATGTATCACCGCTACGAGGACATGGTGAGAGCTTTGTTCGCCGTGCACAACCAGTGCCCTTACATCACGCGCATCTACAGCGTGGGCCGCAGCGTGGAGGCGCGCCACCTCTACGTGCTGGAGTTCAGCGACAACCCGGGCATCCACGAGGCGCGTGAGTAACACCTCGCTCCGCCGCTTTAAGAACTAAAATGGGTCACCCGCTGGGTTGCCAAGTGGCAAGGTAAACTACGAGGCGCGTGAGTAACACCTCGCTCCGCCGCTTTGAGAACTAAAACGGGTCACCCGCTCATTCTCGTTGGGTTGCCAAGTGGCAAGGTAAACCGATTTGGGGGGTTCCAAACGGATGACGTAAAGATGAAAACATGGATGAGATGATGACTTGTTACTTTGAGGGAAGGCAATGTGACGTTTTCCACGGAAACGCTTGCATTGACTGCGGGTGTAAAAACTCGACACCCCCCGTTTCCAATGTTAGCTTTTTGGCTGCGTGTTGACTCCGGTTTCATCGGAGTGGGAATGTGTTTGGTCAATTCTGAACACTTGTTTCGAAGAGGGTGCGCACACTTGTGCCACCACCACATTATTTCACTTATTTTAACTCCCCCCCACCCCTTAAAGATTCAGCTGAGTTGTATGGGTCACAGGTCACATGAATGGTGGAAAAATCTTGGTCTCATTTTTTTTTTTTTTTGTCAAATGACAAAAACCTGCCATTTGAAACGGGGGCTGCGTAGACTATTTACATCCGCTACATACAATCCATGTCAAGGTCGTGGCAAGCGACGCACGCGTTTGGGATGGGCAACGCCTCGCTTGGTTTTGGTTGGGTTGCATGCCAGCGCATTCTTCCACTTTTGCACAAGACGGAGGAGCGCTGTGTTGGTTTTTCCTGGTCCAAAAAAAGCAAAGGCCAAAAGAATGAAACGAAGAATGTTAAATTTGGCATCTGGAAAGTTGTTGACATGCACAACGTTTTAATCTTGAAGACGAGTTGTTTTTGGGGGGGGGAGCGAGAGGAAAAAAACATCTGCAATTCATTCCAAGTCACTTTCCAGAAGGTTGGTTGCGATATTTCAGGTACTTGCCGGTCACCACAAAAATGAGCCCGCCGCATGTTTATTTGACGCCCGGCCGAGGCAAAACCGCCGACGTTGGCAATGGCCGGCGTTTCCACTGGCGCAACAACTCACTCGGGCTTATCTTGCGATTCCATGGCGTGGCTTTCCTTCCATAGAGCAGAAGGATGTGTGCTTGTTCCGCTGCAAGGTGCCACAGGAGAAGCAAAACAGGAAGCGTGGCCTTTGTGCCAGGGAGTTCTCCGTCGACTTTTAACCGTTAAACTAGGGGCGGGCAACATCGAGCCTGTGGGCCATATCCGTCAAGTGCTGTGAGCGTGCGCGCGGATGCCCCGGCCGTCGGTTCCAATGGCGATGATGCCCGAACGCCCCCGTTTTGCCTCGTTGACCCGTTGCCGTCCCTTGTGCCTTTCCTCCCCAGTGGAACCCGAGTTCAAGTACGTGGGCAACATGCACGGCAACGAGGTGGTCGGCCGCGAGCTGCTCATCAAGTTCTCCCAATTTCTCTGTGAGGAATTCCAGGCCGGAAACCAGCGCATCGCGAGGCTCGTCTACGACACGCGCATCCACATCATGCCCTCCATGAACCCCGACGGCTACGAGGTGGCTGCCAGACAGGTAACGGACGCCCGAAGAGACAAGATGGGAATTACGGAGAAAAATGTGATGATGTACTGAATGAACAAAATGTGGGAGGTGTTCCCGAAAGTCATGAGGGGAGAAAAATGTCAGCGTTTTATGAGGAAAAATACAAGAAAAAGGGGATGATGTCCTTGTTGTGATATTTCGACCCAAAAAATAATAATAATAATAATCCAGCAATGAAATAACGTCGTCACATTCAACCAAAAAAAAAAAAATCATCCAGCAATGAAATAACGTCGTGACATTCAACGTGTTGTCGTGTGATTTTGAGATGGACGATGCAAAGAACGTCGTCCGACTCTGAAAAGACGCCAATGAACGATTGCACCTCTGATGCTCTTGCTTTTCAACCAGGGTCCCGAGTTCAACGGCTACCTGGTTGGCCGAGGCAACGTGCGCGAAGTCGACCTGAACCGCAACTTTCCCGACCTGAACGCGCTCATGTATTACTACGAGAAGAGCAACGGACGGAACCACCACCTGCCGCTTTCGGACAACTGGGAGCAACAGGTCAGACGCGCCGCGCACGGGAGGGGGCGGGGCAAGGCCTTCAATGGTTGACGTCACTTAGCGTGGTATCGACTCGAAAGTCTTTCCGTCGTTCATGTGACGTAGAACTTGCGCAACGCCAATGAACAAAAAAAGTCATGGAGTGAAATAGCGCGTGCTCTCGAAAAGGAAAGAGCCAGCCGGATACGGGCGCCCCACGTGTCCGTACGGAAGCTCGCACGGCGTAGCGACCGATTTAGCTTGAAAGCTCAACAAAGTGCCTCTCCAAATAAACAACTGCCAGACGCCAACCGCCTGCTTCAAGGCCGCGCCGGTGCCGAGCTCCCGTGTTTATTGCCGCGCATTCCTCACTCCAGCGCGGCTATTACCAAAAGAAACGGCCTGCTTTGCGAATGTCTCTATCAAGTCATGTCAACTGAGTGAAAATAAACAACAGATCGCCTGCTTCAAGGCCGCGCCGGTGCCGAGCTCCCGTGTTTATTGCCGCGCATTCCTCACGCCAGCGCGGCTATTACCAAAAGAAACGGCCATGTGGCCTGCTTTGCGAATGTCTCTATCAAGTCATGTCAACCGAGTGAAAATAAAAACCACCAATGTTCCGTGCTCTGTATTTTTGCAGAAAAGTTTGCAAGTCAGATGAATCAATGACTCCTTTGGTTGAAGCACATAGACCGCCTTCTAGAAATCAAGACTGTGTGCTGTGGGTCAAACGGACAAAGTGGGCGTGTCTGTGTTCACTTCAATACCATCCTCAGGTGGAACCAGAGACCCGGGCAGTCATCAAATGGATGCAAAACTACAATTTTGTCCTGTCTGCCAATCTCCATGGCGGCGCCGTGGTGGCCAACTACCCTTTCGACAAGTCGCGGGACGCCCGCATCCGAGGGAGGACCACCTACGCCGCCACTCCGGATGACAAAATCTTCAGAAACGTAAGCCGCCGACACGAGCGCGTCTCTTTGGAAACGTCACCGTGAGTTGGGCTGGCGTGTGTGTGTGTGTGTGTGTGTGTGTGTGTGATATCAGCTGGCGAGGACTTACTCGTACGCGCATGGCTGGATGCACAAGGGTTGGAACTGCGGCGACTACTTTGACGAGGGAATCACCAACGGAGCCAGCTGGTACTCGCTGTCTAAGGGTCAGTCAATAAATCGATTTTAATCCTGCTACGCAGCCTATCTGCCAGTTTTTTTTTTTTTTTTTTAACTCCTTCAATGTTTTTCAATTGATTTGGCATCACATCCAGAGTAGAAGTAGCGAATGTTTCCTGGGTATCATCAATCAGGGGAGTTTTTATACGAGCTTCGCCACTGGCGCTAAAGCTCCTGCCCTCATCCTTCTTGGCTCGGCGCTTTGCAGCCAAAGCGCGCGAGCATTTACAGGAATACGTTTGCGCAAAAAAATGCCTCCGGGCTCCGCATTCATCAGATTGCTGGCTTGCTGTTAAGTCCTTGTCTGGAATTTGAAGCTATCGAGTTGTTTTCTTTCTTTCCTTTTTTTTTTTTTTTTCTGCAAGCAAGGTCACGTTTTCTTTGTTTGAAGTGACTTCTCAATTTGCTGCCGGTTGTACGTCACGCTTGAACTCTGCGGCGCATGCGCCGCACATTTGAAAAGCTTTTGCGTCAATCTGTCTGCAGGTATGCAGGACTTCAACTATTTGCACACTAACTGTTTTGAGATCACGCTGGAGCTGAGCTGCGACAAGTTCCCTCCCGAGTCTTCGCTGCCCGGAGAATGGCTGGGCAATCGCGAAGCGCTGGTTTCCTTTGTGGAACAGGTCGGTTTCTGGTACTTTGTGGCCAAATCACGTCAGCCAAAACCCTCCGCGCACCGTTCAAATATCGGACGGCTAAAACTGAGCATGCAAGCTTTGGGATACGGCTGATGACTTTGAGCTTGCGCAAGTGTGAGGAGGCAACAGTGCGGGGCCCACTCGAGTCAAGTATGCAGCATGGCAACATACGCTATCAAAAGCCATGAGAGAAGGGTCAGACGAGCGCCTTTTGTTATAATTATACATAAGAGACTCAAGTCAAATACGGCCTTTGTTTACTAAATTAAAGACTCTTGTTTGCATTCTCGAGCAGTGATTTCAGGGGGGACTTTAGGCGTAGCCAGTCGCGGTTTCTGGCATGTGCTAAATGTGTGGTCGCACAGGGAAACAGAGTGGCAACCCCCCCGGAAGAAAAAAAAAAAACGTGCGTGTGTGTGTTTGTTTTGTGGAGGTACTAGGAAGTCAGCAAATCTTGGACAGCAGGGCACCATTCAATCTAGCTTGAGGAAAACATGATGTGAAAGGCTAAATGGATCCATTAAAAAAAAAAAAACATGAGAGAGTGTGAGTATTGATATATATGATTTGTCTCCATGTGTTGCAGCACCGTTTGTGTTCAGGTATCTGCCGCTCGAAGGGTAGCGACACCGTCACATAGATGCTAATAGTTAGCCCATGCGGCTATGGAGTTTCCCGTTGTAATTTAGCATTCGGTTTGGGGAGGCGATGTGAGCTTTAGACGCGCACGTGTTATCCTCTTTTGATTTCGACCTAGTTTGACGGGAACCTCCAGCTAGGAGTAGCGCCAAGCACCATGGAGCCTCTTGTGAGCGCGCATGTGCTCTGCGATTGGCTGGTGACCTTTCGGGGGGTGTACTCGCCTCTCATCCGTGAGTGGTCAGCAGCATCAGAAATGGGATTCCCCTCAACCTACACATGGCCGCACGACGCTCACACAACGCCCGTTGCCAGTACACATCAGACTCCATCCTGTTTACGTGCTTAGGTGGGGGCTGTTGTTTTGGGTCGGCAAAGGGGTCGTCAACTCTTTAATGCGGGCGTATGGACAAGAGCGATGATGATCCGACTGTGTTACAATTAGCAGAGAGAGCACCATAAACAGCGGGCTTCCCCTCCGTTCCAGGTGCATCATGGGATAAAGGGCATGGTGTATGATGAAAACAACAACCCGATCAAGAACGCTGAGATCTCAGTGTCAGGCATCGACCACGACGTGACCAGTGGTCAGTTGTTTTTCCTCGGACGCTTCCTTCTTCGTGCTGGGAAATGAAAAGTCTCGCCACTCGGTTCAAAGATTGTTCATGGCTCCCCAGGAGTGCACGGCGACTACTTCCGACTCCTGTTGCCCGGCACGTACGCGGTGACGGCCTCTGCCCCGGGTTACGCCGTCTCCTCGAGCACCATCACAGTGGGACCGGCTGGAGCCACCCAGGTGGGTTCTCATCATACATACGGCACTCGTCGAAAACATTCTCGAAGGCGTCACGTCATGTTTTGAAATTAGAACATCGGTCATTCTTACAAGTGTGGTCGTGGCACCCATGTGCTCCCTCTAGTGGTGCAATGAGAATCGGCGGATGACAAAGTGTGCCTCATGTGAGAGGGCATTCTTGACTGAATGTTTTCACTTGTGCTCTCTCTGTCTCTCTCTCCACGACAGCATGATTTTTACTTGAAAAAGGCCCCAAAACAAAACGCCAAGACGAAGCAGCACCACGGCAGGAGGAACGCGTCATCTCCCAAGTCCACCTTAAAACTGGGTCCGAGATGAGAGACACGCACACAGAAATGGAAAATCGACTTTTTATCTTTGTCGCCCCGTGCTGATGTTTTTTTTTTTTTGAAACGCGTTTTGCTCCTTATTAAATAATTATTGCAAGAATCGTGTATTTATGTAGCAGTACAGATGCACATGAAGATGGCTGTCCTTTTTTCTTTGGGGAGGGGGGATATTTCCCATGACGTTATTTGTTGAAAGCAAAAATAAAAGACTGCGTTTTCTTCTCCTGTGATGTGACTAAATCACTGTACACTCGTTCTGAATTATGTCGTCATATTTTGTGATCGGGAAACCTTGTTTTGGATTCACAATAAGGGCTGGCTCACTTGCAGCCAGACAGATGGTTTCAAAAATATGCCACTCGTCTTCACTCCTGGCTATTTTGACCAAAGCATAGCACCAACATGCTGGAAAGTGTTGCGGTGGCGGTCAATTGCGGGAGGAGAGGGGGGTGATAAATGCTGGAAAGTGTTGCGGTGGCGGTCAATTGCGGGGGGGGCGGTGAAACCCATGGCAACGTCATTTCTTTGGCCAGACGGAAGCGCTACTTGAGCGCGAGCTCTTCCAGCGGGTGGCGGCAGAGGACAAGATGTGACAAAGCCGGTGAACTGACAGCTTTCAAATTCCATCGCACGGTGACACGCGTAAAGGTGGCAAGAAAACACCTCCCACTCGTCTCCCCTGACGATTAACCGTGACGAAGCGGGGTGACTTTTTGCTCAGACCGGGACGACATCCATCTGCAAGTTGAACAATCTTGACTTGGTCCAAAGGCAATGGACTCATTTCGTGACAGAGCTATTTGACTTTCCGGTGCTTTCCTGAAGGTAAACAGTGTAACAATGGCTCCTCTGTGAAGGACGGGAAAGAGGAAAAGGACACTTGACATTTCAGGCTGGGCCATTCGAAAAGGGCTTCTCCGTGGCTAAGGGCCAACATATTTGTTTTCACCTGGACTTCAAAGTGGAGTCGTGGTTGCGAGGCCATGATGGCGGTTGATAAGCGGGGGTTGACATGTTCTCTTGCCATCTGCAAGTTGAACAATCTTGACTTGGTCCAAAGGCAATGGTCACTGCGTCTCCACAACAAAACGGACTGTGTCCTCCTACGGTGCACCAAATATTCATAAGACAACAATGGACCTCCCAATCAAGTCAAGTCAAAGAATGACTCTTGAATGAAAGTGGCCACTGCGAGAGGAGACACAAAGGCGGCGTTTCATGCAGACACAACACTCTGGAGCATTCTCATCGGTGTGCGTGCGTGGGACGCGTTTGTGCACAGAAAGTGTTGTCGTCACGGATGCCCTCACGTGGACCTACGCTGCTAGGCAACGCCCACACTCTTCAGAAGCACGTCCACTAACCGGGAATCTATGATTTACCATGAAAATTAAGTGACCCGCGAAAAAAATGATCAAGATTTATACATTTGTAAGCCTATGTTATATTATTAATTATCATTTTATGTTTGAGCATCATATTATTTGAGAAGCAGGAAGTGATTTTAGTGACGAGAGTTGTGTTCTCGAACGTGCTGCGGTGCAGATGTCTTTTTTTCCCCTTTTAATAAACTGCATTAAAGGATTCCATTTCGCCTTTTGTCGTTCGTAAAGTAGAGCTATCCACTAAAAACAACGAACCCCTCAACTTACATAGTGGATAGGGTATGTCTAAACCAATTGGTTGGTTTCGGCGCGGTACTTGGGCGTATTTTGTTGTATGCCACGCTTTGCAAACACACGAATGACTACAGAAGGCCATCTGTTGTCCATTAGCGCTGATCCAAGGCAGGCCTGCGCCAATGGAAGCCCATCCCATCATGCAATGGGTGTGGTATGTTCTGTGGAACGTTCCTCTTTGTACGTGACGCAAATAACTATTTCAGCAAGATATCGAGGCCGGAATGGTGATGTACTGCCGGTTTTACGTTGATCAATATGCCCCTGTGAAGTCGGATCAAACGCTCGTTCGGGCCTTGGAGATTCCCCAGCCACCCTTGAACATTTCCACACAGGAGTTTTAGTGTCACTTCAGTGCCTTCCTTTTCCATGTTCACGTTTGAGAGTTGCCTCGGTTTCCTGCCATTGTTTTTGCACATACGACATGAGGAAGCTGTCATGCAGAATCAGCAAAAACTGCATACAGCCTCTCTCGCTTCACAAACAAGCTCACGAGCTCATTCATCCCTAACTTGTCATGGACTGCATCAGTAATATGCGAAATGCAGAGATACATTCCAAAATAATAAAATTATAACATGCCTTTTTTGAAGATCATCAGCGCAAAAAAAGCTCGAAGGTATGATTGTGCATGACTGTAAATTAGAACATCTTTGGAGAAAACATATTTTCATAGATAAACTTTTTGTAAAAAAAAAGCCCAAATTCCAAATTGAAACAATAAATTCCTTCGTGAATGTAGATGTTGTTTTGTCAACTGGTTAAAATAAGTCGCTGTTTATTAGCATTATTTAGCATTAGTAAATAGTCTTATTAATAGTATTTTTATTCAGTATGGACAGAAACATAATAGTGTCTTTTGAAGTACAAAAAAACTAAATATTTATTTCGTCAAGAAAAGGATAATATGGATTTGAAACGACGCACAGTCGGTAGGTACGATGTTTCCGGTCAGGCACAACGTGGGGCAGCTATAACAGCTGATTGGAAAAAGTGCACTTTCCCTTTCTTTTCAGTCAGGCACCAAGGTGGGGCACCTAACGGGAGCTCTGAAAAAATGGGTGGTGTGTTTGTGTGAGTGGAAAAAAAAGGCATGGAGAGGAGACACGCAAAAAGGCAAGCTCGCCTTCCAGCGCCTCTGACGTCTGACCAGATGACAGCTGATCCGGCAGCGACACATGAAGGACTGCGCCAACATGGTTTTACACCAAAATAGCGGGGTACCTCGCTTTGTGATGATTGCTTTGCAGCGATACGCAGTGTAATTGCTCAAGTCCCGTCTGGGGGACACGCGTGCCAACTAACACATCATCAGCGGAGCGGTGCAAGAGTTGCCTTCTGGTGTGAGTCTGCTTGGATCTTGAACGCCGTCGCCGGATTTCAATCACCCGAATAGGTGAGAATTTATTTCCTGATTTTTACTTAAAACGTGAGGGATCAGCGTGTCTTGGTGTGTAAATTGCCACTAACAGGCGATCATGCTGAATATAACAACAATCACGTCTGTGTACGAGAAGCTGTGAAGTTTACATCAATGTTTACCAAACTTTACTATGGACATATTTACTTAAAAAAAGGCAGTGAAATAATGTGCACAGATTAATTATGTACGTTCTGCCATCGAATGGACGAGCATGTATCTGTTCTGCCTGTCACTATATGCAGCTGACATAGATCGAAAACTAAAGATACATTATTTGTAATTTGCCATTGAAGTGAAACAGATTTTTTTTTTCCTCCTGGGTGGTGGTGATCTTGAACAAAAGTGTTCACGAGCTAATAATTCGCTTGCAGTCTCTCATCTGTCTGTCAAAGTTTGACTGATTGTTTTCATAGGTGTGCAAAGCCTCCTCGAGTTGTCTGTATGCCGCCCGCGTCTGCTGTCATCAACTGAGGTGAGGGGATGTCAGGCGGTAGAAATGAGTGCCAGGTTGTATTAAATTGAGCCCTCATTGAGCAAGGAACTGGAGATGCTTGGCTTTAAATTGCTCGGCTTTGGCCCGACATCTTCCAATAAATCCTGCGTGAACGTGCAATTACGTGCATTTTGATCTCGTGATGAAGGCCTCCAAACGGCCACTTTGTGTCAATTTTAAGTGTTAGTTCTCACCGCAAGGAAGCAGAGCGACTGTCATTTTTCTTGACGTAGATTGGCCGAATGGATCCAACGTGATGTTAGACAGTGATGCTGCGTTTGTGGAAAGGCGTGTGCATTCCTTCATACGATTCATGTGGCGGGAAAAGGTTGTTTAGTTTTGCTCCCCCTTTTTTTGACCAGCGAATATTTTTTACTCTGATAAAGTCGCTTTAGCAGCAGTTTACTTGGAAGGTAGGCGAGCCTCTGACTACATTGTTCTCATCCTGCGCCACACACACCTAACTGACATGTCTCTGACCCGGACGTTATGTGTCAAGCTGATGATGTGGTATCGGTGCATTGAGTATCAGATTTTTTTTGGGTGGGGGGGTAGACCAGTATTGGTATCGGTACATCACTGACGAAGATACATCTTCCCTTTGAGAACTTGTATGTGACTGACCAGGGCCCGGACAGTGAATTGAGGTTTCATGCTGGCTTCGGTTCATTCCATTTGGATGTGTCCATCAGAAGAAACCGTCGACATGTTGGCACAGTTTCTCCCCCTGGATCGATCCAGGCTGACGCCGTCTCGTTATGATGACACCCCTCGAGGACGAGAAGAGTTACGTAATGGCTCACGTGCAACCCATTTGTGCCTCCGGCGTGTTTTCAGGGTGTGGCGTATCCTCGGTCCTCTCGAGGAAAACCCTCTTTGCCTTTTCAAACACGAGCCCCTCGTTTCCGAGGCGATGTGGGCGCAGACATCCGAGCTGTTCTCCTGTTTATGCAAAGGATCGGCTCCACTCGGTGTGGGCGTCTGTCATTTATATTCAACACGTGCTTGGGAAAGGACATGGAAAAAGAGGAGGAGGAAGAGGAGTGTGTGAGATTCTGGCATCCTCTTGTGGAATGCCCTGACGCTTGCTCACCAAATATGAAAACAGTGTGTTGGACTGGCTTTTTCCAGTGGACGCACCCGGGGGTTTCCTCCTCCGTCCTTTTCGCCTCACTGCGAGACACCCAACGCGAGGATTCGTCATGACTCACGACATGTTGCCTTGACAGAATTCTCTGTTCCCTCGCCGTTGGCGGGCCCTGCATTTGGTACCTGGCCTTGCTGAATCCGCCTCCTACTGGTCAAGGGGGCAACAGCCAAAGGTGATCAACCTCGCACTCCACCTCACATCGGACGTGGTGAACGCCCTCTTTCTGTTTGTTTGTTTGACATCCAGAACTGTCCGCTGGCAGTTTTTGCGTGTTGTATTGAATTCCAGCTGACTCGGCAGTGTGAATGAAGCCAGCCACGCAGTCAACAGTTGGGATCCAAACCGATCCAGCCCTCTCCAGAGGCTTCTGCCAGTCTGCGCGCGTAGGCCAGTCTGCCCCTGTGGCGCTCTGAATGGGCCGCGAGCTGCCATGTCTACATTGTTGGCGTCGGTTCAATAAAGGATGCAGACCGTCAGCAACAGCCCATGTCGTGCAGGCGTTCACACTCGGGAAAGGGCAATTTGAATCTGAAGCTCAAGCTGTTCATTCTCATTTCATTCCAATCTCGTCACATTAAAAGCACAAAATAGACAGCTGTTAGCTGTCGTGTGTTTGTGTGTGTGTGTGTGTGTGTGTGTGTGTGTGTGTGTGTGTGTGTGTGTGTCCA